TCTACACCCAATAGTACTGGTTAATGAAACAGATGTTGTAATAGATGCTGTGGTAGCTTTAACAAATTTGTTAATTAGCTGGATAGGATCACCTCCTACAAGATCAAATACTGGAAAATCACCAATAATACTACGGAATATTCTAATCATCTCATCAGTATATCCCGTAATTTTTCCAAAAAAGTAGAGGATTCTTTCTGATCGCATTTTTTCTAATACGCTCTCTGCTGTTAAACCGTATGGATCTCCATTTGGATAATTATCCTGCATGCTAGAAAAACGAAGACCATGAGGCGGATAATCTCCAACATGGAGAAGAACCCTTGTACCATCATGCCAGGATAATTGGGTTATGGCGGCATTAAGACCCCCAAGAACATCTTCTGGCGGATCACCACCGCCAGTAGCTGGCACTTTAGTCAAACTTTTTCTGAACTTTTCATACGAGTTTGTAAAATCAATAAGTTGTATGCGAGAGGCATCACAATGATCGCGATAACCACAAAAACCAACTCGGATTTTAATGCTTGGGTTTATATCTTTAATATGTTTTGTCACCTGTAAAATACAATCTTTGGCCGCAGCAATATGGCCCGACATAGAGCCTAAATAAAATTAAGGAATAAATGAAGAATCTAAAAACCGGAAACTGCAACAAATATATTAGATGGTACAAACTAGTGCAATCTAAAACATAACAAAGGTCAACTTCCTTCGAACGATCAATGTTAGCAAGTGCATGAGATATAGCTCTATCTCGCCTATCTATAATCACTTTCCTTTTCTTGGATCTGCTAGATCCATCTTCCCTCCCATTGACGTTAGTAGGGGTGGCAGTGAATTTAGATGTTGATTCAGAAGACAGCTCATTAGCGTAACGATTCAAACGTTCTTCATTAAGGTCCAACTTTTCATAATCATCCCAAAATGAGGGATCAATTTGCGTAATCGTTTCGTCGGTAATTGTCTCTTCGGTAAGTTCATCACCAGAATTTTTGGAAGCGTTAGAACATTCCGCAGTCAAATTATCTTCAGATTGCATCTTTCAGGAATAAAGGTTAAAAGAACTAAGCGTAAAAAATTTTTACGGAGTTATCAATTTATATTCCGGATTATTTGATGAACAAGGTTTGCGTCGCACAGCTGCGGCTGCTGCAGGAACGATGATTTCTGCGGTAGTTTAAGACTAAAATTCTGCGTATAATGAAGATAAATTTTGTGATTTGATGCTGTGTGTTTTTTTTAGCAAACTCTGTGCGATTCTGTGATAATATAGCTAATATTGGAATAGTATACGATTAATTTAAAATTTTTGATCACGATTATCCCAGTTGTAGGCTCTCTCGTTTTGACCCGAGTCTATACCAGGGTTAAGAGTTTGGTGGAATGTAAGAGACCCTGGATCTGTTAATCGGTAATTTACGTGAATATACAGAATAAGCAGAAATCTTTCGGTTACTATGCTCTCCTTTGCCCTGAAATGTATCCCTCGGGTATATTATAGGTTTTTAATTAGTGGAATGTAATATACCGGGTGATCTATGGTACTTCTCAAATATATATATATATATATATATGTATATATTAAAGATAATAACTTATATTTTTTTGAGTCAAATCCACTGTGATTATCGATTATCGGTTTTTATCCCTTATACAGTTTTGCAGGTATCATGGTTGATCTATCTATGATCGACTATATACAGTAGATCATAGTTTATATCATAGTTCATGCTACACTATGATAGCAAAGAATAGTTTATTTTAATTAGTAAGTAAATTAACCATATCGATATTTGTGCAGAATAACACCCGGGTGTTATTTCACGAGGATACAGTATAATTTAATAAATATAATCAAATACTAAAAAGAAATAAATATAAAAATATATACAGTAAAAATGATTTATTCAATATATATATATATATGACAAATTTTTTATGAAGACCCGTCACTATGGCGACCCTATCTATAGCAGCCAATCATATTTAAGGTTAGTAAATTTTATTTTTATTTTTGAAAAAATGTGCTTGTCACCAGCAGTGACAGTAACCGGATTTGGGTTAGGGTTGGATTTAGAGTTAGTAAGTTTATTATTTAGTAAAATGTCTTAAGAAACATTTTTTGTTAGAACACAAATGGTGGTTTTATAGACATAATTTTGAGTTATTGTGATTTGAATTTTCTTGTTATATTTAATCTTGCAATCTGATTGGCTCGGAACTGTCATCACCAGTTATAAATAGATTTGCCTTTTATTTTTTATTATAAAATTTAGAAAATTTTTAAAAAATTTTAATCAGCCAATAGTAAGCACCTTATAATCTTGTCATATGCTTAATTTTGATTAGCCAAGTATATAGAGTCACTATCAGTATTTATTTTTCATATATGTAAAAATGTGTATATATATGGTCTCACCATTAATATTCAAAAAAAAAAAAAAAAAAAAGTGTATATATGTGCAGATCTAATTAAAATTTTAAATAAAGCAATTTGATTAGATCTACATATATATACACATTTTTGTACATATAAAAAATAAACACTAGTCACTATAGCAACCTGTTACTATAAACTAACACTCTCTATATATATATATAAAAATTTCTAATTTTATTACAAATGATCATCTTAATAATTTAAAATTTTGTTTATAAAATCACCTTTTGCGCTCCAACAAAAAAATTCATTGCAAAATTTTATTAAAAGTAATACAGTAATACTCTTGTTTTATTTTAAACTCTATTCTAATCCTAACTATAAAAAAATTATTTTTTGTTTAAAAAAAATTATTTTATTATTTTGTTGTTATGTATTAAAAATTATAGGTGATAATTATCTATAGTAAAAATTAATTATTTTCAAATATAGATATATATATAGTACTAGAAAATTAAAATCTAATATTTAGTATGTATATAATTGTTATATTGACTGCTGATTATATATGAAAATTTAGTATATTGATTGCTGATTATATTGTTATAGTACTGCTATTAAGAAGGTTACAGTACTGTATTATTTTGTGACTCTTAGTGAAAAACCAATATTCTAAAGAAATAAGCTTTGCTAATGATTAGTAATCATTAATTTTTTAATAGCAGAGTTATGGAGTTTGCGGAGTTTGTGAAGTTTGCTCACCTATTCTATAAAACATCCTGAAAAACATTTTAAAACCATTACCAGATGACATTATTTTGGTCCTTTTTAATTAATAGCTGGTTACTGAAAGATAGCTATCCTGAATTAAATTTAAGTATTGTGAATAACAACCTCCAACTTGGTTTATTTTAGCTGATATCTAGATGATATTATCCTAAGATATTGAAGAATTTTCTATAAGCCAAAGTATAGACATAAAGATTCAACTTCAAGAAACATTATTATTATCCTTTCTATTTTGTCTAACAACAAAAGCATTGGACTTTACTCTATAACTGATAGAGTCATTCAATTATATAATGAATATATTGAAAACTATGAATATAAATATATCTAAAACCTTGCTCTTCTTTATACAACTTTACAAGCTTTAAATTCAGATCTTTTTGTCAAGCTTGCTTTCTTCTATCAAGAACTAATCCTCATATTTTTCATTAATCTTCCTTTGCAAGATTTTAGAATTGGTATTTCAACACCTATTCTGCCTACTTCTATACCTCCAGAACTATTGCAAACTTTAGATATTTAATTATAATTTGAGACCAATTCTCTATTCACACCTTCATCTGAGATATTATTTTTAGTTGCTAATATAATCAAGATATTGGAAACCCTAAAGAGATTGCTCTTGCATTACTTACTAGATTTACAAACCTCACTACCTTAACTACTATGACTTTAAATACCAAACTATTTTTGACTACTACATTAATCTAGCTTACGATTTTGAATATAAGAAACCAGAACAATTCGAATAATATTTTGAAAACTTAGAACTTTCTATATAATATCAACCAAATGACAATTATAGTTTTAGTTACCAAAACCAACAAATTATCTAAAGAATTGCATCTTCTTCTAATTTATTCTTATATCAAGACAAAACAGATAACCCTTACTATCAACCTTTTCAACATTCTTTTTAAAATACATTTGAAGTATCTCAAGAACAATTTATTGAATTAAACCTTGTTCCTCTCCCAGAAGCACAAATAGAAAAATATTCTTTGCAATAAGAAGAAGCTTTACATTCTAAAAAGCCAAACCAAAAAGATGAATCTGATAGTACTATTCAAAAAATCTTTATCTAACCAAAACTTACAAATTATCAGAAAATAATCAAGACCAACTTGACAATAACTCACCTTTATAAAGCTTATTTAGAGATAATTTACCACCACTAAAACAATTCAAAGAAAACCTATTACTATCATCACAACTACCTGTAACACCTCCACTAATAATATTACCTGTAAATATGATTGATGCTACTCTTAATAATGCTGCATAAGCTATAACCAACCTGGTCAATGCCTTTACACCAAATGGAGAAAAGTCTCTTCTTAAAATTGATTTTTTTACTGGTAATAAAAGCCAAGACCCAGTAAAATGGCTAAAAGAATTTAAATAAGCTGCTATTGCTAATAATTAGAGTGCTACTCAATAATTTGCTCTTGCTTCAGCATATATGAAAAAAATTGCTGCTGAATAGTTTCAAGGTCTTAACTCTGTATCTAATGCTTTCAAAAATGATGATCAATAAGATTGAAGCTTCTACTATCTTTTCAAAACTAAATTTAGTTCAATTAGTCAAAAAATCAAATAGCGAAAACATTTCTTCGAAATTAAACAAAGAACAACCTTAGTCGATGCCTATATAACTTGCTTCTAAAAGTTACAAGTCCATATAGATTCTGCTAATATTTTTTCTGGTAAATTTATCCTTCAGCTCTTTATTCAAGGACTTAGGTTCAAGTATACTATTGGTGTTCAAACTAGAGCCTCTGCCAACTTAAATGCTGTTATAAATGCTGCTTGCAATTGAAAAAATGACTGACTTATATTC